TGAGAAATTGTTTTTGACCCATTTCGTCCGTGTGCACCGTATTTTCCGTGTTCCAAGCTGCGAGAAAGTTGGGCAAACTCGGCAAGAGGATCATCACGCGTTTCGAGAATTCGTTACCTTGGCTACCAGACGCAAAAACGCAGTTCGTTTGGATTCTTATTAAACTGTCCATAGGCGAAACGCAAAATTCCTTCCTGTTAGATGGAGATATCACTATATTTTCATTCTGCGATATTTTCAACTGCGATAAATTGCAGTTGAACTATCTAAATTTTTTTTATTTTATTTTATTAATTTTTTTATTCTCTTTAACTTGTATTGCATCATTTCTTTGATATCTCAAATTCATATATATATATATTAACAAACTATGTATTATATATTTCCAACAATTAGGATTGTAGACATTGTTGAATATTTTTGCCGACAAAATTAAATAAATTTAGATTAAGTAAACTATAAAATGATAAAGAAAAAGCAAGAGAAATATAAGTTTTGAAAATATTGATTTTTAAAAGAAAAATATAAAAAAATACTATGTGACATATCTTGAAAAGTGAAATATACAAGTTGAGAAAATTGCAATTAGTTGATTGTGCTTGAATTTTTCAAAGTTGAAGTTGTCAAGTACTGAATACTAATTTTGAATACTTTTAAATGAATGAAATAAATGAAGTGATTCATTCGTGAGAAAATATGTTGAAAAGATTATAAAAATATGTCTCATTTGGAATGCACTATTTTATTATTAAACGATATACGATATTTACATAAAATTTGTAACAATTTTAGAAAAGTAATATATTATTTCACTTCCTCACGTCACCATTCATTGGGATTAAAATATTAATTACATATAATATTATTCAATGAAATATTTGCATATCGGATTATTTCAAAAGTTAATCATTTACAACGATGAATGTTGTTATTTATTATTGTGTGTTATTATTTATTTAAGATAAAATGCCGCAAATGAATTATTTCGATGTAATTTATTTATTAAATATATTTTAGAATTATCGTGTTTCTGATTTTCATATTTATTCGTATGATATATTCTGATACTTCACATTTATTTCAGGAATTATGTATTATCTTTATTTGTTATTCTCATTTTAAATAAAAAGCAGAAGCATCTTTTTTAAAAAACATCATAGTATTTATTGAATAAACTGATTGTTCCTTCGTTTTATATTATAATTTATTTAATATATATAAAAAATAATAAAACGTAATATAATTATGTTACAATTTCAATCGTTAAACATATTTAAAATAATTCACCGATTCCAATAATTGAAGATATTCTATTATCATAGTATTATTCATTTAATAATAAATTTCGTAATATATTCAAAATCAATAAATACAATCATTCATCAAAATCAATTTTTTATCCAAATAATTACGTACGTAATAACATTAAATAATAATAACGAATTTCATAACAAATAAAATAACAATAACAAAAAATGACAATTTTTAACTTTCTTATAATAAAATATATTAATTTTGCAATTTTTTATCGTATTTTGTAACTGAATACTATAAATAAATATTACAATTTCATTTTTTGCTATATAATTCGAATAATTATAATCAATGTACATTTCCTTGTGCTATATCCAATCGACGGTGAAGCATTCATGAGGAAAAAAAATCAGTGAACCGTAAATAAGTGAGTGGAATGGTACAAAGGGCTGGAACAGCCTCGAATCACCGAAACTCGTGGCCTTTACTTCGCCAAACGAAATGGTTCGAATCGAACCCGCCTCGTTCTCATCGCCTTTTACGTGACACTTTAGCGGAACAAACTAACGACGTTACCAACCGAACCGAAGAGCAAAGGCTAAACACGATTCGCTACACAAACCAAATTTCGTCTTGATTTGCACCTCGAGGTCACGCTGGAACAACGATCCACTCGAGGAATCTAAACAGTTTGGAACCTTGTTACGAGCCAACGTGTCTAACCTCTTCCTTAACCTCTCAACCAAGATGACGGTGCTCTATTATATTTTTTTTATGCCATCTATAATCGTTTTCCGACAAATTTCTATTTTTTTACACTTATTATTCGTTACATTTTTTCGCGTTGAATTATTTTGAAATATATCTATGTAGGGATAAAGAAAATGCTAGTTTATATGACACATGGAGGTTAACGGTATATGAATAGAGTATATACATCGTGTGGAAAGTTGTCGAGGTTTTCACAGACTCGATAAAAGTGAGATTTGTTTTGAAAATTTCTAAACGCGCTTTTAGTGTAAAATACGAGAAAATATTGGAAATCATAAATTATCGAGCTATATGTTTTTCATTATCTGAGATTATATTGCGTATAATGTAATAATTGTTAAGATCTATTATTTATTACTCGTGTAAATAAAATATGGAAATATGAGTATAATACAAAAATGATAATAATTTTTGATGGAAAAGTAAATTTAAGAATATGAAATTCCATCTATCTTGAAAAGATCGATTTTGGAAATTCATGCATGCGCATACATTTAAATTTCATTTTAACGAGCCATTCTATGAACTCTTGTCATTTCTATGTATGAAGTTTCAAATATAATAAATGATGGGAAGTACAAATATGTACACTTATGAAATTTTACTATTTCATATAAATTATAAATTTTAATTTAATAACTTTCTCAATTATTAATATGCCAATATCTTATAATTTCTTTATCATTTATTAATTTGATATTTTATATAAAAATATTTGATTGCAATATATCATTATCCAATTTTACATATGCAAAAATTTTCAATCATAAAATCTTCGAAAAGCAGGACTTTTATTTCAGAAAAATTCAAATACGATATAATACGAAATTCAATACACTTGCCAAAAGAAATAAATCACAAAATTAATTCCATTAATTCAATATTGTGCCTCGTTGTGTTAGAACAATAAATTCCATCAATTTCGAAATCGAATCAACAAAATTCCAAATATGAGAAAGAAAAAAAGGTCCAGAAGCAAAAATGTTCGACAAAGAAACTGCTCGAAACGGAAACAGTTGTTCACGTGGCAATTTTAAATCGTGCGAATGTACTCCGTGTCGCAACTTCCTCTTCCTCTCCTCTTTCCCTCGCGCCAATTCCCTCGTTTTTTGATTCGTAAAAAAAAAAAAAAACGGTCGACACGACCGAAAGCAAGATTGTCGAAAATCAAACGGTGTTCCCAAAGCATTGTGCCATGCACGGATGTTTGAATTTCTCACGGTGTTCTAGGCACACAACAAATTCTAGATGATTTGACGTGGCTAGCGTACACAGTATGCCACAGTGATTCCCAATCTGCGGATAATGGCCGACTAAGAGAACTTTAAATGATTTTAATGTAATAATAATTTCGTTACCTTGAATCGTTTACGTCTTACACAAATTTAACAAAAATTTAATTTCTAAATCTCTTCCAAATAATTTTCCTTCGTGGTGATAAATCTTTCAAAATTTTTCGATCGAACGAAATATTGTATATAATAAAGTGGAAATTTTGTAAGTATTCCAAAATTTTTTCACATTTTCCCACAATCTATAACAATAAAAGAATAATATTAACATTATTCAATAAAAAAAATTCACAAATAACTTTCACTAATTGACAATACCATCATCGAAGAGCTAGGTTAGGTTAAGTTATACTCTGCAAACTCTGTATCGCTAAGATACTAATTTTTTAATTTTACTTATCTACGAGTATGGAATCACAAGTTATTTAAATATTACAAAAATAGGTCGCAAAAGAGATTGGAAAACGTTGAGATAGTACGTAGAATAGAGAACGATTTATAAAGCCACTCTCTCTTCCTCTGTTAAGCCAATCGCGTCAACCAAGCTTGTCTAACGCAAATTGTCCCTAGCGCCACCTGGGGATACTTCCAATTTTATGCTAGATTCGTGCATCGAATAAAACGATATTTAAAAAAAAAAAAAAAAAAAAAATAGAAATAATCAAGGTTTTCGTAACAATACGTTCGACACAGGAATGGAAAATATTTTTAAGCTAGATACGATCTAAATTTATGATACGCATCAATCTAAATCTAGTGTTCTTAAACCCATATTTTTTTTTTTTTTTTAATCTATATAACAAAATTGAATTTATGCTTACAGAAATTGGAAAGTGAAAACGTTACGAGTTTTCTCGTAAACTTTTGTATTATATCTGATATTAATCTTTCCCGACATGTGTGCACAGATAAGCGAAAAATATAAATATAGTTTACGTATGATTCCACGTATTATTCAATATCGCGTAAATATTTTGAATATAGAAGACTTACGTCACGTATCCGTTGCAATCGTGACCAATGAGAAATTTGCGTAACGTACCTGAAAAAAAAAAAAAAGGAAATAAATCTTCGTATATAATATCACTTGTAAATATTTTTTTTTTTTATCGAAATTGAGATATATTATTAAAACGTTGAACGTTTCAAAAAAAGAAAAAATTTCATTTTAAATAATTTACAAAAAAATACATGTATATGTAAAATCGAAACTGCACGATTATTTTTTACAACAAATAAAAACTTAGAAAATGTTTAAAATCGCCGGTAAAAATTTATACGAGAGAAAAAATTCAAAAAATCATCCAGTATTCGCATTGTATTTTATCCCAAAATCTAAACGTATGGCTTTCA